TAACTTCCAAACACCGACATACCCAATGAGAGAAAGATAACTCAATCCTCTAAAAACTAATAAAGACATCACATCCAACAAGGAGCTTCTACGGAGACAACAACACTTGCTTGGTCTGTGGCGTTCCTGAGAGGCCGGCGTCCCTTTTGCGGCAAAGCGTGGTGCACCCCATCTTTCGATTAGGTGAAGCTCAGCCCTTAGCCCACCAGACTCTGATCCAGCAAGTGCCCTCGTGCTATGGCTCTGCATCTAACCTCGCTCATGACCTCAACCATTCTCCCCAACAACACACAATGCGATTTGGGCCTTGGAAACTCCGCCTCGGATTCTACCAAGTCGAGTTTCCTTCGAGAGAGAGAGACCCACACGCATACATACACAAACACATCGAAGTGGTGAATCTTATGGGATTGGGAGATGCTGAGATGGTTTGAAAGCGGCTACTTGCCACACCACGAGACACCACGAGACGCCGCTCGCCGTGAAGGAATCCTTCCACGATGTGATTTGATTCGTCGGCTCGACCACCATCCAGCAATTTTTTGTTGCCGAAATTTCAGGATGAAATAGCGGCATGAAATAGAAGTCATAATGGAGTGATTCCATCCTCAAACACCAACGTCGGTATCTACGCACTTGACTGTAAAGTAGTAGTTTTGCATTTCAGTATTATTACTAAGGGAGGTTGATATTTTCTCTGAAAATAAATATTAAAGAAATGTTTAAAATATTGTTATTATTATTATTATTTTGTTTTTTTCTTTCTTTCTTTCTTCTGTCCTCTAATTTTACAGTTTTCTCAGATCGAAAACATTCCTTTTGTGGGTAAGCAAAACACGTATGCACAGAAGCGACACTTGAAATAACACTGTTACGGAGCCTTGCCTGCTTAAATTCCCTGAATATGAATAAAATGATTGCATTGACTTTAGGTTTGGAGATTGACTTCCCATCTTGAACAGTCAACTAGTCACAAAGAGAAAATTGTGTTATTTGGAAGTTAACGGTGACGCCAAAACAGCGATGACGTCAGTGACTGAAAACAAGATGAATATGACACATGCCCCAGAGCTAATTGCAACGTTGTTTTAGTGTTAATCTAATCAGTTTCTGCAACACGTCAATGAGTCAAATTTCCTTATCTGCCATGTCTACCTGGAAATGAATTATCGGTAATTGGAAATCTACCAACAAACACTTTTAAGAAACATCCGTCGCTTTATTTGAACAAAAGTTCACGTTGAACATCAGAATAGGCCGTATTTAGATAATATATATATATATATATATATATACACACATACACAGACATTTATATTTATTTGAATTTAGTTTAAAACTACAATATAAAGCATATAATGGTAAATGAAATATATTTTATAATTGTGAATGAAATATATTTTATAATTGTGAATGAAATATATTTTATAATTGTGAATGAAATATATTTTATAATTGTGAATGAAATATATTTTATAATTGTAAATGAAATATATTTTTAAAAAAAAAAAAAAAAAAAAAAAAAAACCATAACTATATGAATGTTATTTTTTACCTATTTTTATAAAACATAAAATTTCAAATTTCATATGTTAAATTATATATATATATATATATATATATATATATATATTATACTATAATTTTACAGAAGTGAATATGGTAATTATTTGTGTCAATAACTTTTTTAATTGTTAGTATTCCTTTTGTTTTGTTTTCGACTTAATAAGTTGAAACAAGTAACTATATTTTATTCATTATTTTAATGGCTTTCTTAGAAGATGATGTTTTGAAGTGAGATAATTTGAATCATTACTAATTTATTACAACTTAAAGAAAATACACATATATATATATATATATATATATATATATATATATTTACACATATTCACCTATCTATATATACATACAATTAGAAACTTTCACCATTGAATAAACAAAAAAAAACTACTAAATGTATAAGTTTTATACAAAAACAAATCCTTTAATTATCTCTATTTAAATTCTTGAGTTGCATTAATTTGCATCACTTTTTTTTAGTCATGTATATAGACAATTAATGACTTACAATGGTACTTTCAATTTAGAATTGAAGTTCTAATGTCCATTTTTACATTGGAGGTACCATTGGCATTATAAATATCTCATAGTGTACCTGTCATTTTTTGCTGTAACAAATTTTTAGAATACTTTATTTCCATACATGCAAATTTCATAAAATGTATGATAATTTAAAGTTAAAATTGTGCAAATCTCATTGAAAACCCATATAGTTCATTGGTTAATGAAAAGACTTTTTTTTTTTTTTTTTTTTTTTTTTTTATATTAGAAGATTATATTTGCTTTAACTTATAATGTATACATTGTAAAACAAAAAACTATAAATCTTTAATACAATATTATTGTGACTTAGTTTTAATACAATTGCAACTATCAACTTATTATAAACATTTTTTTTGTTGTCTTAATATTTATAAAAATTTATAAATATATTCAATTTTAAAATTTTAAAATTTATATAATTATTAAGTATAATTATTTTCCAAATATTCTTACACTACTATTTTTAACTAAAAATAATAATATGTAAATTTCCAATAGATTATTATTGATTTGTTTTTTTATTAACATCTTAAGTATTAAATACATACTATTAATTATACCATGTAGAAACATAAGATATAAAGAACGTATGCTCTTTTCTATCTACAATTATATGCAATAGCATTATTTATATATGTAAATATATACATAAACTCTTTATCTAAATGACAAAAAATAATTTATCATTATTTAATTATAATGTTAAAATCTCAAAGAAAAAAAACGAACGAGGATATATATCACAAAGAAACCATTTTAACAGAAAGCCCACATCATTTGTGAACAAAAAAAAAAAAAAAAAAAAAAAAAAGAAAAAAAAAAAGAAAAAAGAAAAACCGGTTTCTCTAATATAGTCGAAAATGGTCATAAATTTTCAAAGCATGGTAAGTTGCACACCCAAAAATGCAAATTAACCCCAGAAGAATCGACTATTCAAATGTAGATGTGAAATGTGAACTATGCATGATGGATCCTTGCACAAGATTCACCCTCCACGGGCTACTAAAACAAAGAGAAAACGCCTCAATTTTTATGGTAAAAGTGGGGCTCTTGAGGCGGTGAAGATGCGTCGTGGGGAATGAGTCCAGTTGCGCAGTGAATGGGCTCGCGCCGCCGATGCTTGAACACTGGCCACGCCGAGAGGGATCGATAGGAGACACAGCTGCTGCGCCACCGCAAAATGCGCCTAGGCATCATCCCTTCATTACGGCACTAGCTGGTAACTAGTTGTCTGTGACCAGGTGTCGAAGTCCCCTCACCGTGTTTTGTACTGGTGTGGCGACATTAGCAAGGAAGCAGGACCTTGTCAAAAGCTTCTCAGAAGTCCGTCTTTGAGGTTAATCCTTCTTAATGTCTCAGAAAAACAGAAAAAAGAAGCAGAATACCGACGATTCAGCCCCCCCCCCCCCCCCCATTGCAGAGACCTGCTATACATAGCGCTTTAGCTACCCAGTTCAGTCTCACAGTTGTTTCGAACTGTACATGTTCTGTACCGACACACTGCATGGTTTTGGTGGTTTGTGCGAGATTACGTCAAGCTGGGCGCATGGGATCTTTGAATACTGGAGGAATGGGCTCGAGTTTCATGTCTTTTTGGGAGGAAATAGTACGCTGTGCAAGTTATCTGTGACTCTGCTCAACGCACTGCACATCATTGGTTTTTGTACTCATGTCCGTGGCTTGTGCATTTCCTTTGGCCATTCACTCCACTTGCGATGCAGAAAGTTGACGCAAGTCATAGGAAATCCTGTTCTGCTTAATAGACAGGACGTGAAGCTGCTGTTTTAGTAGCCCACGCTTGTACAGATTCGGTTTTCAAAGTTAGAAAAAATCCAACTTCTCATGAAGCATACTGCTGCATTCTTCACAAGATGAGTTTGTGATTAAATTTCCCATGTCCTGCGAGACGAAATATAAAACTAGCCGTTGATCTACGGCGATCAAATGCTTCTGTTATATGCACATGTAGGAAGCTCGTTGCTGTATATGTATTTAAACATAAAGTAAGAGAGGTTATTTTGATTCGGGTTACAACATACTAGTTCCTACGTTTTCCCACGAGATTCAAACAGACCAGTATCCTGAGCCTTGGAATCACACGCTGGAATCTGAGATGGGTGAGCAAATAAAGTATTTCCAGTGAGCACTCCAATCAATTAAAATCCTCCAAGAATCGTTTCTGACGTGGAGGAACCAGCTGTCTGACAGGCAACAACCCCAGCCAAGCCCAGAGTGGTATCAAAGGCAGGAGGATGTAGTTGGAAAAGATGAGATAACATTTTTGACGATGGGATTCTTATCAAACGAATGAGGGGTGCAATGTGCCGGGTAATAATAGTCACACTACCTACAGCATCGTGTTGGCTGGCATGAACACAACATGAAGCCCGCGGCATGAGTGCCCACTTTTGCTCTTTGCCGAAAACATGAAGGTTTGGAGACTTCAAATGAATCCCAACTATTTTCTGTGCTAATCGCGCATCGAGCTTCCGCAGAGCGATTTTTTCCTCACCCAAAGAATATGGGTTTCCTGAACTCGATCGCAGGCTTGGTTTTCTCAAGATTGAGTGTGGGACCGGAGCGACTCGAGGCATGCAACCGATGTGGGATATTTCAATACCAAGGATGGTGCCTCCATCTCAATAATAGCATTACGCAATATGTTATAATTCTGAACCAGAAAAAGCCGCTGATTGGCGTCCTCCTACTATTTCAGTACAGGGCTACATGCTACAATAGATGTCCTGTCGAAAATTCCGCGATGACTCAGATCCACGTGCCCTCCACACAGTCGCCATCGCAGCCACGACTTGCGATTGAATGGGGAGCAGGTAGCAACCTCAGGCCTTGATCGCCATCGTTCATTGTCTGCCCGAAATTTCTTATAATGTGATGCCCTGCCAAGATTAACCACAGGACCCGCTGATCATTCTCCGTTGTTCTCTGAATCATATAGTTCATACACCAGTGCTCTTGTTAGCCGGCTCTTGCCTTCTTCAACTCAACTCCCTGGATTCTAAAACTCCTAGTTTCCTGAGAGTTCGATTGTTTTAGGTTTGTCGACCTAGGTGTATACATTTTCTATACCATGCATGCTATAGTCACAATTAAAGTATTATCGGTCTCATATCGAAATTGCCGCTAGTTGCATTGTTTTTACGAGCACGCGTAGACATGCAGTCTAGTGGCTAGTTTCGAAGCTTCTTCCCTGTGGCTAACCCACAACATTTTACTCCTTGTCAAGGCAAGAACTTGAGCAGTAGACTCTGGTCTGACACATATGTGTACTCAATGACGGGATCTTCAGTCAAAGCAGTGTAGAGTCGATTTAATTGCGATGAGCTCCCTGCTGACCGCTCTATCATCGTTGTGACCAGATTGTGCAGGGTCCGCTTACGGGTTGTTGAATGAGAAAGACAGTGGCAAGTTCAGTGGAGTTGTAACTCAACAAACTTCCTACTCCGTCATTTCTAAATTTCCCAGCCAACTTCTGACCTCCAAATCTGTCAGTTTGCACACAGCGTCCATGCTGCTTCTCTGAATAAGATTCTGCTTGTGCTAGTGAGAGTTGGGCTTTAACTTGTTTGGGATGCTGGGTGCTATAGAACACCACAGAGGTAGTTTACCAATCATGACGTCTGCGTTCATGAAAAACCTCAATTCTTGGTTCATGACGTACTTCACGGGCCGGGCCAAGCAAAAGACGATGAACAACTCCAAGATCACCATCCTGTGCGTCCTTGTGACGATACTCGTCTTGCGAGGTACCATCGGCAGCGGGGTCGACAAATCGGCCGACTTTGAGCGGGCGGTTGCCCGCGCAGAGAATAGCAAGGTTGATCCGGAGGATGTAGAATGGGACCCAAGTATTCCATTCAGGCTTGGACCTAAAATCCTCAACTGGGATCAACAGCGGGTGCTGTGGAAGAAGAAGCATCCTGGCGCTGACAAGAATCTCGACGGGAAAGATCGGGTGTTGCTGGTTACAGGATCTCAGCCAAAGAAGTGCGATATTGCGATGGGCAACTTCCAACTACTCAAGGCCCTGAAGAACAAGATAGATTACTGCCGATTACACAACATCGAGATTTTCTACAACATGGCACACTTGGATGTGGAATTGGCGGGGTTTTGGGCGAAGCTACCGTTGCTAAGAAAGCTCATGCTGGCGCATCCGGAAGTGGAGTGGATCTGGTGGATGGATTCCGACGCGCTCTTCACCGATATGACGTTCGAGATACCGATTGAGAAGTACAAGGGCTACAACATGGTGCTTCACGGCAGCGAGGACGATGTGTACGTGAGGAAGAGCTGGCTGGGTCTGAACACTGGAAGCTTTCTGTTCCGCAATTGCCAATGGTCCCTCGAACTGCTCGACATTTGGGCGATAATGGGCCCTAAAGGCGCCGTGCGAATGGAAGCAGGGAGATTGCTCACCGCCACACTTAGCGGACGCCCCGAATTCGAAGCCGATGATCAGAGCGCGCTGGTGTACTTGTTGGCGACGCAGAAAAGTCGTTGGGCACGGAAGGTTTACCTGGAGAACAGCTATAGTCTTCATGGGTATTGGGTCATGCTTACTGAGCGCTACGAGGAATTTATGGCCAAGGGTAGTGCAGGTGGCGGTGGAGGCGAGTATCGATGGCCATTTGTGACCCACTTCGTCGGGTGCAAGCCTTGCGGCAAGGGCGGAAGTAGCAGCTATGGAACCGAGCGGTGTTTACTTCACATGGAGCGCGCCTTCAATTTTGCAGATAACCAAATCCTCAGTAAGTTTGGGTATCAGCACGCCACTCTGAGCACGTCCAATGTCAGACGCATCCGGAACGACAGTAATGACCCTCTCAGATTCATCGAGCTTCTGACATGATGCGAAACCTATTCACCTCTCAGTTGGATCCTCGGACGTGGTGGCTTGCTCGAAAGGTTCGCAACAGCCCGCTGGGTTTGCTGTGTCAGGATCCTTAGACAGGAAGTTTCGATTAGTTACCACGATCGCCGTGAATGGACAGCCGATGCTGTAATCACTTTTCACGTTATTGATGAGGCTTCAGGGAAAGATTTGGTTGACTAGTACTATTGGCTGGACTGCAACAGTAAGTCCCGACACCGTTGGAGACCTTCCACCCGCCCGGCACCAGGCACAATAGTGAATAACTACATACTTCTACGTGCGGCCTACTTTGGTCAACACACTATCTGGGAAATGAGGAGGTCGATGGAGTATTTCTACGGGGCAAGCTGTCGAGTAGAACCTGAAGGAAAGATCGTAGAGTTTATTTTTCGTTCGGCGATGGGATGATCGAGTAGGACATCCATAATACACATGGCTGTATCAGTAAAACTCCTTGAGGATGGCCAGCTTTTGATAAATCCTGGAGGGTGGTCAGCTATTGATCAGTACATACAATTATCGGCGTAGTTGGAGCGATCCATTCAGTTCGTCAGCAAGCGACTATTCTGATCGAGTAGTCTGATAAACCTTACCAAGCACTGCAAGGGTTTGCTAGCATTCCTTTCGAATTAGGTCGTCGCTTGTGTTGAAACCAATAGGGCATTTAATTTCCTGCCCAGTGATGTGAATACATTCTTGCTATCAGACCTGGTTTACCAGGGTTTCATTTCTTTCCATGCAGCTTGTGGACGTGTTGAACTGATTTTCTAGAAGTGGGTTCCGATTTCAATGCTGCCGTTTGAAGTACAGTTTATGTGCTTAGCAAACTGCATCTTGAACATATCTTCGATTCAACTTCAATGATTTGTGAAATCTGTAAGTTCTTATTTCAATTGAAATTTGTTGTTGAAACTTGGATGCAGAACCCTTGACAGGATTCACCTCAGCAAAAAAGTATTTTTATGTTATTTTAAACATGTCATGTGGTATGTCAATAGCGAATTTGAAGGAATGATATTTTTCATCATCTTATGTAGATTTTTCTTTCCTTTTTTTTTTTTTTCTTCTTATTATTTGATAGTTCATTGAACACATCAAGAGAATACCATTAGAAACTTATTGTGAACATACACTGTGCAACATACTTCATATGAGGATGATGGTCATTTTGGAAGTAATCTTCATGGTTGTTTAATAAACACAACAACAGATGCATTACGTGCAGTCACATGATTAACACATCAATCCATGACCCAGCGGCAGAAATTTCTATGAATGTGACAAATCCATCACGATTGATGCGACTTTCCCTGAATTCAATCCTGCTTTAATTGGAAGCGAGGTATTCTCCTCATAATTCTCTCAAGGTTTTTCGCAATTTGTTTTTGTTTTTATAAATGCATTCATAAATATAAATATGCCAACACACACCTGGACAAACCAGTTGCACGAATGCATCAATCGATCGGAGCTTTCTGTGATGCAGCGGGGATCGAGGGCGGTTGCAAGAACGCCAAGAGGGAAACCAAAAGCCTTGAACTGCCTTACTGTTCGTGGAGTGGAAGCAGCTCAATCACGGGATTGCGGGATGCAGCAGAATTCGAGAAGCTCGACTGTTAGTGGGTATTTCTATTTTCGTGTTGATTTATTGCTCAGTTATTCTGTACTTAGAGGGCTCAATGTTGAAAATTAGTCTGTCGAAAACGCAACTCATGGAGTTCTTGACGAAGAACGAAAATCTCGGTGGAGTCGAGGTTCAGTCAGGTTGGCGATTTCTTCCAGCTCTGTCGGAGAAAAACCCTTGACCACCGGTGAAGCTACCGATCCAGCCTTTGGTTGCTTCGTCGAGGGGTGAGCAGTGCGCACCGATACCCTAGTAGTTGTGGGGTTGAATCTTTGAACTGAGCAAACCCGTGATTTCGTGGTTTCTAGTGCGCCAGGTTGTTGGGATTCAAGGCATGCAGTTTGCCTGCAGTTACAATTTGCATGATTCCGAAAGTGGGTTCTGAATCTGCGCCGGGTCTTGCAGAATACAGCCAGACGTGAAAGAATAAGTTCCACTGCGAACCTTCAAAATTTGCTAGCAAAGTGTTAAATAATACATTTATTTCTCCTTTTAAGAAGCGTTTTTGAAGGCGACGCATGTGAGCGGACAGACAGGTAGCCATTCCCTTTCATTAGACTTGGGTGAATAGCTAACTCGGCATGACTGACACATATAAACATTCTACTGTGGAACGGCCAAAAGATGTACAATGTTGTTGAATGCAGGCAAGACTCTCGTCGATACGATGCTTGTCAGTTGACGTAATCTTACTAATGGGATCGAAGAGAGAGGCTGATTAAATGCTGTGTACAGCAAACCGTCTAGACCGAGCTGGCACTTACATTCAGGCCCATGAATGAACGCATCAAACGATGAATTATCGAACCAGCTCTCATCCCAAGCTTCTCCCCTTGCCACTTCCGCAGTCGTGCAGTCTGAAGCGAAGTGGTCGACGACACTCTTGAGCTCATATGCTAGATCCACTGCTTCTATCACGCCGCTGTGACTTTCTTCGAGCGATTCAGAGATCTTCAGATAGCCAAGCGAGATTGGCGTCTAGCAGCCCCCTTGGATCTGAACAAACCGTACACGATGCGTCGTTGTAGAGATCATGGGCAAAATTACAATACAACATGAGACTGATTCAGTAGAAAAGCAGATGATTCTGCTCCTTGTTTGTATGTGCACCTGATTTCGCCAACCAACGTCACCCAAAATTGAATACATAATGTATGTTGACTATGATCCAATAGACGGTTTTGATGAATCTAGCCTTTTCACTTGAAACAATTCTACACACATCTGCTGATGACAATGTTGCTAATCCTTTAGGCGTCTCGCACAACCCATTCGTACCAAGTCAATCTGCTAGACCATGAAACTTCCAAAAAAAAAACGACAGAATCGAGATCAGAAAAAACAAAACAAAATCAAAGCCAATCAGTCTCTGAAGTTACAGCGAGTTTCCGGAGCATGCAACTGCAACTCACTTCAGAGAGTTGCCTCGATTAGGGTTCTGATATCGCTTGCGTGGAGATCGCTGCCCATAGGGACGGTTTGTTGGATTGCGCGTCGGACACAGCAGGCACAAAATGCGTGAACAGGCCAGATCCCGGTACCCATTGAGCCTTCTTCACAGTCGCTTCTCGCAATCGCAAGTTTCGTAGTCCCGAAGTGATAACATGGGTTTCGTCTGTGCAGAGTTGCACGACGTGAGGTCTGCGAAACTCGACCTGGGCTTGTGCTATCTATAGACGAATGTGGCTTCGAAGATATGCTGGTTTCTGTGGAGGCTTTTGTTGTTGTTTTTACATTCTTTGGAGCATTGATATTACATTGTTTGATTCAGCCATGCCTTCAAATCAACACACACATATACGTGTGTGTGTGTACATATATATATGTATATATATATATATTGATGTGTGAATGTATGGTTTACAGAGAAAGAGTTTTGTCAACCTTATTTCCTTCCTTCCTCCGTACCCTGCAAATTCAGGAGGTATTTTCTCCTGTGAATTTCGTATGCGGGTTGATTCTTTCGATACGATTGAAATATCTGTGGCGTTATATGCAAATGCGCATGTGGGTGTGAATATTTTTATGTCCATCCATCCAGTTTCATTTTGTTTCTGTTGCTTCCAAATACGATTTATCCATAAAATTTGTAACATGCCTCTTTTTTTGTTTGACAGACATGCAAGATTTGATAATAATTTTATGCGACCAATTATATAGTGAAAAATTAATGTACTTAAGTAGACCTCTATACACTTTGTTTCACATTTAAGAGTTGTTAAGTGTAATTGCTACACAATTTTAGAAAATCATTTAAATTTTGGAAACACTTAAAATATTATATATATGTATATATATATATATATATATATATATATATAAGCATGTACAGACATATACTAACAAACATTCTCCTTTTATTTAACGTCCAAACTCCCACTTAATAAGGAACTAATATTTGAAAATAAAAACTCAATTTTAAGCTTTTCAACAAAAAGCTTGAAATTTTGTATTTTTAATTATTTTAATTAATGATCTATTGACATCAACAAAGCTTTTGAATTTTATATTTAAAATTTTAGTATAATTAATAGCATATTTTTTATTTATATTTTATTTAATGATTGATTTTTTATTTTTATATTAATATGTAGTTTAATTTATTAAAATAATATAATAGTAATTTTTTATAATAATATTTTTGAAAATTTACGTTTCATGGCTATGTCTATTTTTTAAATGGTCTTATAAGCAAGCTCTTTTAATATAAGATAATCTACTTAATATAAAATATCTGTTTTTAAATAATAATAAAGTATCTTATATTAATAGAATGTTTTTTAACTTGCAACCCTTATAGAAATTGTGTTTCATAGTTGTACAAGCATTTTTTGAATTTTTTTTGTGCTAAACAATAAGAATAATAGAATAATAAGAATCAAATATCAAATAAGAATAATAATCAATAGGTCCTAAACATATCTTCTTTTATCAAAATTTATATTCAAAATTTTTTGGCTTTTGAACCACTCTTAAAATGATGTAGAATTATGTGATTTATTTATTTTTTTTGTAAATAACTTGGTTAAAAAAATAAAAAGAATTGATGGAAGGCAAGTGCAGAAACAAAAGAAAAAAATTAATTCTCAACATTGTTTAAAGTTATTTTGTTTAGATAACATTCACAAACACATGATAGTATAACACCATGTGAAGTTCTAAGAATAAAATAGTGCTTGATGGCAAAAAGAAGAATCTTTCAATGCTTTATTAATATTTTTCTTATAAAATATGGCAAACACTTATTTTAAGCAACATAATGTTGTTGATAGTAGAAAAATATTGCTTAACAATCTTAAAATTAATTATTGAAGTAATCATTTCATGATATATTATTCAATGAGAAAAAAAATGATTATTAGAGATATTATAACAAGAGCATTTGTTCATATGTAATTAATGAAAATTGTAATTGTTTTAGAATTTTGCCAAAATAAAATATTATTTTCCAAAAAAAGCTTCAAATATATCTCATATTATTTATAGAATATTATTAAAATTTATTTCTAATATTATAAATATATTTTGGATAATTTCAAGTACCACCAACATTTCTACTAATGATTTTAAAAGCTTCCATCTATATACTTCTATTTATTTTCTACTTGTAATAGACAAAAAAAAAAAAAAAAAAAAATGATAGCATTCCACTTTTTGGATATTTTACTCTTTGCTGAATTGGACAACGATAATTTATTATTTAATGTTATAATAAAGTTTCTCAATGTAATGAGCTTTATAAGGAGAGATAAAATACCTAGATCATCAAATAATAGAGCATCAAATAGAACTAGTTGCATTCAAGAATATTTGACTTTATATATACTATGTAATTAAGGAGATATGTGATGATGTTCTATAGATCATCCAAGACATGTCTAACTTATAAGATATATGTCTAATTTGGAAGGCAAGTTTCCAATTTGTATGCTATATGATCCACTAATACAACAAGTAGCCAATATGTGTAATACATGGCCAAGTTCTTGGTCAAATTTTTAACATATTAATCACATACAAAGACTTATGGAATGAAATCTATATCTACACAGCTTTTAAGAAGCTTTGTATTAAGATATTATTAAATTAACTTATTTTTACGTACTTCTAT